GGGCCGCTGTGTTCCCCTGCGGTTTTAAATCAGCACCCCTGCCTCTGCCCCCTCCAGGCACGTGGGGTTTTGTCCGAGCGACGGTCAGACAAAATTCGTTTCAATTCCCAGCTCTTTTTTTTGTCGCTTTCCCCACATAGATTTGTATGTGACGAGGCTGTTGCAGCCCTTTCTCTAAAAGGTCAGCCTAAATTATTTTGTGCGGATAACACGAAAGCTTATGTGCTTGATGGATTTCTGCAGCACATAAACACTGCTTCTCATGGGACTGATGACCTGAATAATTACCTCATCTCAGTCACCGTTGATCTAATCAGCTAAACCAATTATAATACAAGCTCAAGCCATTTATGAAAGTTTCTCAGATTGCTTTATGCAGACCGGAAGGTTTTGTGCATTATACACAAGTTAGTATATAGCGGGTAGCGATGCCCCGCGCTAAATTTTGCTCCTTTTTAATACAATCTAAATTTAGAATCTTTGTTAACCCAAGTTTCCCAGAGTTTTTCAGTGGAGATCTGAATTTCTCTCAAATAACTTTGGGAGATTTATTTTGAAATACTTGACCTGTTTTTTGGGTTTTTTTTCTTCGTATGTGAATTATGTTCAAGTGAGCGATAGTTATATATAGTTCTCTTATAATAGTGAGTTAGGTATAACACAAAGGATTAAATATATGAATTATTATTTTCGTAAATCAATAAGAAAAAGTTAAAACACAACTTGGTATTCCTTTATTTTTTATTATTGTGTAATATGCTTTCAACTTAGACACAATTTTCATAGTTTGCCCTGTATATGATTATGGATTACAGTGAATAATCTCATTTAATTTAATCACATGCAGTTTTAATCATTGCTGTTAAACCAACCTTGCAGAATTGTCATTAATACTTACAGATGCATTCAAAGCAAACTGGACAGTTGTTTATCACGATGCTTATGAAAAGCAATGGGTAATGTCAATTTAGTCTTTTGCCAGACCCATTTTTGTCTGGGATAATAGGCGAAAAGCTACAATAAGCTGTTTTCATTCTCAGCATCTTGGTGGAAAATAAGTTGCCTGAAGAGATTTTTTTAAAGCTAAAATAATTGCATGCTGTATGTGACTTACTCTGCTGTTAGCTTGAGTTCATTATTGATCCTCTAGTATTTCTTGTGATCTCTATTCTCTGCAATGACCTAGTGTAAAAATAGCCTTACATCTTTAATTATGTCATAACGTCTGATTTATAAAATTGTCTCCTGAGATATCCATGACCTCAATCAGACACAGTGTTATGTCATTAGCCAAGACAGCTAAGCAAAGCAGAGTTTATTTGTATAGTGGCAGCACTATTCCAGTCTTACATGAAATCAAAGGCACATGAAGAAATACCAGTTTCAAAGGAATCAAAAGCTTCCCAGGATTATTTTATTCTATTTCAAACATGCAAATTTCAAGTTTATGCTTTTGTAGGAAATTTTAATGCAATACTTTCAGTCTGATTACAGAAGAGCACTATGAAACTCTTGCAATTCATAAACACTGCTTGAGGAAGGTGTTGCAACATCTGATAAACTTCAGGTAGTCCCAGGCCTGAAATGTCCATTTATGTACTCTGGAATAATATTAAGAATATTAGTTATACTTTATTTAGAATATATGGAAAATAAGTAATTTATCCCAGGCTGATTGTTTTGTCATATATTCTAAATAAAGTATTGTTAATTTTGCTCTCTCACTTCAAAACAAAGGGGGATCTTCCAAAACTGTGCTAGTTAGTTACATAAAAATAAGATATGTCATATAGTATAGAAAAGCTGTGGTGAAGGTCTGTGAAGTGCCAGATATTCCACAGAGGAAAGACAGAGCCCTCAACATCTGGCAGTAGTATGGCTTCTACTTGGAAAAAACCTGTTACTGGGCTGAATTTCAACCCCCCCTTATGTGGAAAAATCAACAGTAAATGTTAATGTAGTTGATGTGATGGATGACTCATGCTTTCTTGTTTGTCACGCAGTGCCTGTATGCGATATTTGAAAAATGAAATAGGATCTGTTGCAAACCTCAGAGAAGCCAGCAGTCCTGGTCTCCTGTAATGAAGAAATCCCTTTACCTATAATCCAAAGGCATCAGTGCCATTTTATGTTTAATGTCTCTTCAGCAGATTTTTTTTGCCTGTTCTGTTTCATTGGTCTGGAAGAATGGTGGGAAGCAACCCTGGACGCTGAACAGGAGAGAGCAGGGCTTAGCTAAGAAAACAGTCCTTGAAAAGCAGGGATGCTGTGCCTGCATGATGTGATATATGTACAGTTATTCCTTCTAATAGCTGATTATTAATACATATTAATCGGAATAGTTTGATTTGTTGCTATGATTTAAAATAAGTGGTGGCTGAAGACATATAAAAAGGAAGAGAGGGAAAAGGATGCTGTTGAAGGAGAAAGGTTGAAGTCTTAGGAAGAGGACATACATTTAAGAATTATCAATCTTCATTCTCCTAAAGCTTTCACATATAGTAAATATGTCTGAGAACTGATCTTATTGACAAAATAATAGTAAGACTCAATTTAAAAAAAAAAATTTTCCACATACTGACTATTTCACAATTGCACCATGAGCCTTCATATGCAGAGTAGAATAATTGGTGTCTTGGTAGAATATCAATGGGATAAAAAGGTCATACCTTTTCTGAGGATAACCAGGTTATTGAGGTTCAGAATTTGCTAGCTAAAATTAATTTACACTGCGTTATTTTTACCTTTTAAAAAAGCATTAAGCGTACAGCTGTATTTTCCTGCAGATTGCTGTGATACAGGCTACTGCTTTACCGATTGCTTCAAAAAACTGTTTGTTGAAAGCAATTTTGTATCAGTTATAAAGATGAATTGAGATTGTTGAAAGAGTTTGTAATATATTATGGCTCTGGATAATAGTATTTATTGGTATATGAAGTTAAAGATTCTGGACTAATGTCTCATGCTCTGATTGTGTATCCTGGCTAATCTGTTTCACTAACTTTCAGCAAGCAGAATACAGACAGGGCCAGAAAGGGATGCAAAGAGAAAAAAAAAGAAAAAAAAAACCCAGGAAACCTGAAACCACAAATTATCATGGTGTCATTGAACGAGGATTTGGGAAATAACTGTCGAATCCAGGGGTTTATTGCAATTTTCATTCTGAAGCTCCTGCACCTCATGTCAATATCTGATGTATGTGCAGGAGCTACGCAAAGCAGAGCAGTCCCTCAGCAAGCGGCCCGCCTCACCCACCTCCCTGTGAGACGCGTAGCGGGTTGGGGGTGACCAGAGAGCCCTTGCGTCAGCTTTGCAGGTCGGGATGGCGCTGGGAACCGAATGGCAGTGAAGCGGCTGGTTGTTATGTCCTCACGCGACTGCGCACTTTGCGTCTCAGCCAGGCACCCTCTTGTCGAACACCGGGTTCTCACATTCTTACCTGACCCGCTTCAGATTCGTCCAGCTGCCCTTCAAAAATGGTTTTCCCTGTTATGCATCATGTAATCCCATGGAAAGCTCCTACTCTCTGTTGCTGTTCCCAATCCTTAAGTAAGCAGTCTTTGATAGCACCTTTGGAAAACAAACTTTGGAAACTGTTGATACCTAAGTAATCCTTCTGGTTTGTAAACTCAGAACAGTGAATGAGATCGATTGATTGATTTTGAGATTGATTGAGTCTCATATCTGTTGAAATCAGACTGCCAGTGTGTGTTAGATGCGTCTTTAGCACTCCATCTGATGGAAGTACCCACTAAAAGTAGGACAAAAGTCCCTAAATACCATCATGTGAAAGCCTCTTGCAAAAAGAGCTAATGTTTGTTGTTTGTTATTTTTTGTTTTGCTGTTTTACAGTTTGTTTGTAATTTAAGGAGAGCAAAAAATGAATATTTTTTTAAGCATCTCATAAATACTTTTAGAACACAAAAATGTCCTGTGAAAATATCAGATACTAAGTGAAACAGGTTTTTTCCATCAGACATGGTACCTACTTTAAGTTATTTTGATGGCTTTTTGAAAATACCACTCTCTTAAAAAATGCCATTTTTTTCAGTGAACAATAGGATCCCCCTTCTTTCTTTCAAGAATTTTAGGTCTCCAAACTATTATATACTTAGGTTTCTGCTATCATTAGTAACTGATATTTTTCTGAATGATTGGGTGGTGTTTTAAATCCGCAGAGTTTTTGGAACTGTGAAGACCTGTATTCTGAACCTCAGGTGAAAAATGGAATTATTAAAGAACTAAAATAATGCTCAAGTCCTTACCAAGTAGACACAGACACATTTTTTTTAAAAGCTAAGACTGATTACATTGTAGTAAAACTTGGATTAATCTGAACAGTCCCACTAGGAGAGCACATACTTTTTAGTGACCTATTTCAGGTCACATGTGTGTATGTATATCTTTAAGCAGAATCCTCTGTACCATTTCAGTAGACTGGTTTGAAGTATTACGGGTTCTTCACAAGGAAATGGAGATGCTCTTTATAAAGCAGTGGTGGGCGTTGTTTCGTACTGAGAACAAGAGTGAATTGAGAATAAAAGAAATCGGAGTAATACTTTTATCGAAAGCTGCAATTGAGAAATACCGTACACGGCCGGTGGGCGTCCCAAAGAGTTGGCCTTGCCTCTGTCTCTTAAGGAAGCTGTTGGCCACCTAAGCCAAAAGTGCTATCCAGAAAAATAAGGAAACAGGACACGGAAATATTAGCCAACCAGTTATAACGACAATAAATCAGAAGCTGCAGCTGCTGTCATTTGGCAAATGGCTCTGTCTCAGTAGTGTCCATGGGGAAAAGAAGCAGAGCGTTTAGGCAAGAGCCGCTTAGAAAAGGTGGAGGAGCCAGGGCGGGCCCTTCAGTTTTCATAACCGCGTTCTCCTTCTCGCTATTCGTTTGTGGGTACGAACTTGCAGCAGGTCTGTGCGAGCGCATTTTGGGCAGGCGGGGTTACCAGAGAGGTTGAGGTTTGTGTCTCTGCCCCTGTCTTTTCAACTGCCAGACACCGATGCCGAGCTGACGAAAACCGGGTCATGCGTTGGCGCTGACTTGTCTGTGCCCGCCCTCCTCTGCGCCCGTCAGCCCCCTGCGGGTGGGCACCGGGCTGCCTGCGTAATCCTGAAGGCCGGAGATAATGGTCTTAATCTGAGTGGTCAAGTGAGCGGCCAGGATTAAGTGCTGTGGTTCCATTTGGTTAAAGACAAGTGTAATTTGATGTATTTTAGGGAAGGTCTCAGTTTGCTGCTGTGAAGTGAAACGCTGGCTGGGTACCAAGCCAAGTTACAAGTTTTACCTCCTGGCTTGGCTTCCTCCTGGAAGTTTTACAGCTTCCAGCTGTCATAAAGCACATTAAACAGTAACTCTAAAAGCCATTTTATTTTATTTACGATTATAAAAAAGGTCTGGTTCTAATGGGAAACCTGAAGTATTTAAAGATAGCAACAGGCAGTGCGAACACGACTCCTGCCTACCACTTCCCCTTCAGAAAACAAGTAGTTGTTTTTCAGAGAATTAATATTCAGTTCAGGTCCAGTTCATCTTACCTGCTGGGTTCATTTTATTATATAATAAAATCTGATTTATTCTCATTTGGATGTAGAGTATATAGCCATATAAACATGAGCCGTTTATAAACAGTTACTTTCCAAGTAGCATAATATAACACATACTCTCTCAAGTATGTCTGAGGAATACCAAATGTTACTCACCAAAGGGCAGAAATAAAAAGCGATCTTTTGGATCTGAACATTGTGCCCAGAGCTAATCACTAGTTCTGCCAATACCTTCTCTGTTCTTCAGTCTGGGGGGAAAAAAAAAAAAAGCAGACTAGTCTGCTACCTCAGTGAACTTTTCTGAGTCTCGTAAATCTAACTCTCTCTTTATATTTTACTTACAGAATGGTCTTATCATTGCCTGTTACCAAGGTTTTGTGGACATTGTAATAGCCTTATCACAATGCCCTCACCTTGATGTGAACTGGCAGGACAACGAAGGGAACACAGCTCTAATTACAGCTGCACAGGCAGGTAAGGCACCTTGTTTCACCTCTTGCATACAGGGTCTTAGGAGGAGTGTACGTTATGGTTATTATTTTTAGGATTTTGTCAAAGTCCTAGGAGAAATTAGTCTGCATAAAATAATCCTGGCCAAGCCCTCTCCCAAAGAAGTATGTCATGATTTTTCTTTGAATTAATTAATCTACAGTAATATTTATACAATTGATAAAGACAGAAAAAGCTATACATTTCTAGTAGATGCCATTAACATTTTAAACTTAAAAACAAAGAAAATCTTGCCCCAAGTGTTCAGTACTATACTGTTTTGCTCCTTTAACCTTATTTTCCTATGTTTGCTCTGGCAAGCAACCAGTCAACATTCTGGTCATCTAATGGGCTTTATCAGTGCTCACAGCATCTCTTTTCTTATGCTCATTGCACTTACCTCAGTGGGTCTGTAGTAATTGCTGACTGTAGGAAAATGTATTGTCATCAAGAAATACCTCAGCTGCTGAAACATTCTTCACCCACTCCATAGTTAAAAACCCTATTTGTATAGTCTCAGCAGGATTCAGTGTTTGCCAATGCTGCTTTTATAACAGGCTGATTATATTGGTGTTGACCATGTTAATCCTGATGCAGACTGGAGTGAGAGCAGAGTTTATCCCCAGGTTTTCTCTTATCCCACCCACCATGGTGATATTCTGTGAACAAGTGTAACAGATCACATAAATGTAAGAGATGCTCCCAAAAGAATTACTAGTTTCAAGTATACCATTAAAAAAAAAGTCAGTCGATTATTACTATTAAAACTGTAACAGTGTGCTTTAACCTTTAAGAGAAACTGTAGTTTTCTCTTATAAGTGCTAACAAAATGCTGAAGCATGTGAATCAGGAAAACTTTGACCAAGGGGGCTATCCCTCTGTAGCCTAAAGGCTGTTCCAAAGGCTGCCTGGCTCTGCATCCATGGTTTCCTTTGCATCCCTCGAACGTGCACCTCAAAGGCAATCACCTTACGAGGAAATGCTTACGTGGTCTTTATCACGTCTTCCCACTAATGAAGAACATGGGATATTCGTGGGAGTTCATGGGATATAGTATTCCCTCCCCGACCCTGTCTGTTCTCTGGCTGGATGGGGGAAACTAAATTCCATCAGGCAACATCAACAGATATCCCATGTCCTCTTCAGCCGAGTCTGAAGATTGGAGTGGTTAGGTTTTGATTTTAATTTAGTAATATTGCCACTAGACATTTCCAGGTAATACCAAACTGTGCTTTGCCTTGTACCAAAAAGTGAACTCTGCTAAAGAAGCCGCTATGAGATAGGTCTTGAGTACTGGAAGAAATAATTGCGACCACAGTAGTCGCATTCATAGCAAAGTCAGGAGTATGGTAGCTTTCCAACGAACGCGGAGAAGTCTCCAAAACTCTAACGTACTTGTATTTATCTGCCCTAATATAAATTTGGACTATGAAAGGTTTAACACTGACTCCTTCCTGACCTTTATAACTCATGATAATGAGCTCAGAATTAATCCAGAGCACTGACATTGACTTGACACTCTCTGCCAGTACTTGCTATTGATCCCCAAAGCAACTGGAAATGACTGTAGTCAGCAGAAGCTTATACAAATTCCTAACAACTTGGATGTTTTCCCCTGCCTATAATAACCCTGAGCTACAGTGTTGACACCAGTTATTTAATTCATTATCACAAGATACTGCTGTAGTGTTAATAGAGATTACCATGAGGTTAACATTGCAACCGGAGGAGCTACGGTGCAATAGATGCTGCTTAATTATTGCTGAATGTTAAGTAGTAACGCTGAGCAGTGTATTATAAAGAACTGAAAGCAAAGCTTATGCAAGCTTTCCTTTAGCACAGGATCTTTTCTGTTTTACCCTTAGTCCACAGAAATAATATTTTTTCAAAATAAATTCTTCCAAGAGATCACTATTATTTATACCAGAAGTATTGTTCTTCCAGTGGAAAATCCACATTATTTCAGCTGATTGTAAGGTGGTATCAGAAGATTTCAGAAAGCACTGCTGTTTCTGTTATGATCCTCTGACCAAGTGGGCCATCAGGTATGGCTGGACCCTGAGAGGAGCTGGGTAGGAAAGAGGCTGCAGTCTTGTGGGATCGTTCCATGTGTTTCAGAGGCTGCGTCTGTAACGTGAGGTACCGAGACTAAGGAGATGATAGGGAGGCCTCTACTGTTGCTAGAGGAGTTTAAAACCCACACTTGCCTATGCCGTTTCATGACTGCCCAGACAGGATGCTCAAACCTGAGTGGCAGCTTGATTTAAATAGAATTATCTTATAGACCAGCTAGAGTCTTAGAAGAGAGGTGAATTCAGTTCCTCATACTAATTTGATTTTGATAATTTAAGATTCTCATCTTTCAAAAAAAGTATCTAAACCTGACGTTTTTTGCATGGGCTGACCTGAGAAAGGTCGGCTGAAGGGATCGGTGAAAAGCAGTACTTTCCTAAAACGCTTATTAGTATAGAAAAATAACCAAAGGGCTCTGCTTAGTGGGTAAATTTCAGGTTTGAAAACTGCTCCATTCTCTTGCTCTCTCAGTATTTCCTACAGAAGTGGGATCCCTTCTCAAAGAGAGCTTGCCTCTGAAAAGTGTGAATTCGTTGCAGCCTGCAGCAGGTGGTGCCTCAAAATGGGTGCTGGTGCTGTTAAAGCAGAAGCAAAATCATTAAACGTCAGTACAGGGACAATGCAGAAAAAATGGGAGATTGATGCAAATAGGAGGCTGAAATAAAAAGTGGAAAGAAAGGAAGGAGAGTGATCTAAAAAAAAGGGAAAAGGGAGGAAAATTACATTAAATTTTTTGTTTCTCAGTTCTGCTGCTGCTGAGGACATAGCTACCTCAGTGACAGGGCATGGTAATTGGCATACACCGGTGTGTAGAGAGAGTCATATTTGCTCACAAAGTATAGATGTTTTCTGTTACAGGGATGTGGTGGGTTGACCTTGGGTGGACGCCAGGTGCCACCAAGCTGCTCTATCACTCCCCTCCTCGGCAGGACAGGGCGAAGAAATTAGGATGGAGAAAAAAAATAACTAAACACTTGGGTCAAGAGAAAGGCAGTTTTATAAGCAGAAAGCAAGGGCCATGCGTGGGAGCAAAAGAAAACAAAAGATTTGTTCTCTACTTCCCATCAGCAGGTGATGTCCAGCCTCTTCCCGGGAAGCAGGGCTTCAGTACGCGTAGCGGTTACTCCGGAAGACAAACATCAAAAAAACTAATGCCTCCCACTCCTCCTCCTTTCTCTTCGCTTTTATTGCTGAGCTGATGTCATATGGTGTGGAATACCCCTTTGGCCAGTTTGGGTCAGCTGTCCCAGTTGTGGCCCCTCCCACGATCTTGCCCAGCCCCAGCCTTGTGAGGGGAAATGGAGAGACAGGCTGGATGCTGTGAGCACTGCTCAGCAGTAGCCAAACACTGGTGTGCCATCAACACTGTTCGAGCCACTAATACACAGCACAGCACTATCAAGGGCTGCTGTGGGGAAAACTAACTCCGTCTCAGCCAGACCCAGTACAAGGGACCAGTTTGGGGCAAGGCTGTAGAGCTGGGAACACAAAATGACAAGTTATCATCTCAGTTTCTGCTTGTTAAGGGAGGCACGAGAACACAGACACGTAAAGCATCCAGAGCATAAAAGGTTCTGGGTGTCTTCGGTTCCACCCATCCGTCAGAAAGCATTCACCACCCATAGACCAAACACGGGCTTTTTGCAGGACAATTAAAAATCGAGGTGTTATGTGACAGAGCATCTTCCTTACTCTACAGCTTATCCTTTTTCCTGTATTTCATAGATTATTAGGTAATATTGCCATCATTATAGGCATTTCCTCTGTGGCAGCAATTAAGTGAATTAAGCTATTACAGACATCTGTGCTGATCTCTAAATATGGCTCACAAGGCGAAGAAGCGTACCCGTAGCATGCCAGTTCTGGTAGAAGATAGAGCTGGCTTACAAACAGCAAAAGCCTGATACAAAATCAGTGTGACCAAACTGGCTGAGGCCAGTCTAATTTATTTTAGAGCTGCATACAGCTTTCATAGCAGACTTTAAATCACAGAAGACTCACCTGGTTTACAGTTTATATGCACACTTTTAGTTCGCCCAGACACAGAACGGAAGCAAACTTTATTGCCTTAAATCAAAAGCACATGACAGAGCTTGAACAAAAACTTAGCAGCTCTGAGGTTTGCTTTGTGTTTGATATCTGTATGAACTTGAAATTTGAAGCAAACCTCAGAGGACACAAGCTCCTACAGTTTAAAACTGAAGTGGTTTTCAGGAATCCCTGAGACACAAAATTTTTGAGAATCACAAACCTCTCATTTTCTTTGTTATTTTATTGCTGGGTTTTGTTTTTTGTTTTTTTTTTTCCCTGTCCCATCTGTGGCCCTCTGTAGTCCCCTGTAGAGTTTTGGCTGAGCAAGGTCTTTCAGAATTGACTCTTGGGATCATCTCAGATTTACAAAACACCTCTTACTGCAGCTGTACTTTTGGCAAAAGGAAGAACATCTGTAGTAATGTAATTCCAAAACCTTCATAAAGATACACACTGTACATGGGTGAAACAGAGCATGTCCTGCAAAACAATCTGGGGACAAAGATTCCCCTGGTAGTAACTGATACCCTGTATGGTATCCATAAGGATATGACCTTATGCCATGAAGTCTGTGAAGCTGAAGCCTCTGTATTGAGTAAGCAGGACTGGGTCACTTGATCCTGCCCTAAACCCAGTTCACTTTTGCTTTGTTCAGCTTGTTGCGGTTTGCTGTATCTTTATATTTCATTGCATTAGACAGCGCAAAGTACAGGGAGCTTCTTATTTGGTTTTCTCTAACTGTGGCGTTGCTAAACTGATCTGCGCTACCTCTACATCTGCTGAGGTTTCAGGAGAGTTTCCAGTTATGCAGCAAGGTAGCAGAGTCCAGCAAATTCTAGGAGATGAAGAGCACCTAGAAAACATCCTAAATTAATTGCTAAAGATTTTCTTAACTTGCTTTGCATAGTGAATGTGGGACTGTGTTGGTGCAAAGCAACTGCTGATTAGATCTGCACCAGATGTGATGCTATAGACTTCAAAAATTGTCCTGTATGAATTATAACGCTTCAGTAACATTTCTAGATGAATTTGAACGACATGCATCACAGAATATTCAGCTGGACTGCAGAGTGAGATGAGGGAATATTTTTACAGCTCCTAGTAATTAAATTGTGATTGTTGCAGCTGCCTGACAGACTGCATTATTTTATAAAGCATCAAAGCATCATAAAATGAATGACAAGTGAAGGGAAAACTGTTTTGAATGAGTCATAATGGCACTAGATACTCATCTTGTTCTGATAGTCCAATTATAAAGACTTGATGTTTTAATTGGTCTTCCAACCATTTAACCAGAGCTATCTTCAACTACTCAGTATGCCCTTGCTGTCACCAGTTATCCTGGCTTACAAGGCACACGAATGGCAACAACAGTTGCTTTTAGAAACACAACTTAAATCATTTGTTTTACTACCAAAACTGAACATCGGTCCCATTTTCCTATTGCTGGAGAACAGGCAAGTGGCTTTACACTGTCAGATGGAAAAAGAAAAACGTGGGATTCTATGCAAAGTATTTCTTTGTCTCATATCAGGCCTGGCACAGTTTGTTAGTATTATTGTCTGGAGCTGTCACGTGTAATCACTGTTTAATGAAGCATCGTGACTGTAAGGCTCAAATTTACCAGGGAGAGAAAAAGTTGAACCTTTGCAGTCAGTTCCCCCAGGTGATGTGTCTTCTTTTCATAAGCTGTAGGAATTCCCTTTGCAGTGCTACTCACTGAGTCAAGAAACTGAGGCCCCTTGCAACCTCAGAGTGACCATCTTTGGTCTTCAATTATTCTCTTAACTTAAATTGACTTTTCAGAGACGAGGAAAGCCTGCCAAGAAGAACTTGAGAGAAGATGGGAACCCAGGTTTCCAGGCTCCTATCCCAACACTCTGGTCACAAGTCAGTGTCACCTAACACTAAGGCTGATGACTGCAATGGAAAAGGATAAGAGGAAAAGAGATCTTATTAATTTTCTGTATTTTTCCAGTTATCAAACCTGCAGAAGTAATTTTTGGTTTAACCTTGAGACAGTGTCTTAATTCTGTGACATATTCTCTGTTTTTTCATTTCTTTAAAGGGCACATAACCATTACAAACTATTTGTTGAACTATTTTCCTGGGCTCGATATTGAGAAGAGGAATATGTTTGGATTCACAGCACTGATGAAATCTGCGATGCAGGGCCGAACTGAATGTGTGAAAGCCTTGATGTTGGCAGGTATGCAAAGTGCTTTGCTGCTGCTTCGTCATCATCTAACTGTACATACTAGACAGTCACAGGCAAACACCAAGAAGAAAACTGGCTCTTGGGGTGTTTACTCTGAGAGGTGTAGTGCAGCTTTTCCTGGAAAGGCGTGCCGCTTTTAAATAAGTTGTTGACAAGGCAGTGAAGCCATGTGCTGCAGGTGGAGGAGCACTCAGTTTGCCTGTGGAAGCTCATCTGAGCTCTCCAAGAGCTCTCAGGGTGATATTCTTTGTCTGCAGGAGAGGTCGGAGAGTCTGATCATTGAGATCTCTAGACAAGGAGCTAATGAAGCTCATGACACAGCTGGGAAAGACACGCAGGTCTGCTGCTGCCAGCTGCTGCAGGTGTGACAGTGCAGGGCTGGGTGATGGTCATGGGACAGTGGGCACAGGGACTTGTGGCACAGGGAGTGAGCAGGTCCATCTCTGCCCACCTGCCTCTCTTCACATCTGAGAAGAAGAAGTATGTTTCTTGGTGTTGGCCCTTGACTGTGGTTGAATTTCCAGCTGTAAGCATTGTGAGGTGAAGGGATCCTGGAGAGGAAACTCAGAAGGGCAAGAGGCATTGGGACAACAGTCACTGAGGAGCAGTCCCAGAATACAACACTTTTTGGCCACAAAGTTGCATTTTTTTATTAGATTAAGTAATTGGCACATAACTAATGCTTAATTAGCATATATTAGCATATCTCATTGTACTACAGTTGTGGATATTTGACATAAATCAAATATGACGGAAATGGTAGCAGTTTGTATGTAATTATTGTTACTGTCTAGACTGAGAATCCTACAGGTCCATTTCATTGAGAGACATCTTGAATAAGTAGTTAATTTCAGCCATTTTGCTGTCACAGAGGTCCAACCCCTCATAATCTGAATATTTTCAGTCACAGGCATTTATCAAGCATAGTGATATTACATTCATCCATTTTCATAATATCCAGTTTCTAGATGTTGATATGACACACAAAATGTTTGGGTGATGTGATAACTGGCATGTTATTTTCTGCAAGGTTCTGTAGCCTCTTATACCGGAATCAAGGTTTTAGAATCAGATAATTCATTTTGGATTTAAATTTTTATGAAACAAAATCAAAAAATGTCTCTCAGAGCTAAAGTACTGATGGACACAGATGCACTTTCTGGACTAATACGTACTTCATGCAGATGCTAGGTCAGAATTTTCCAGTGCCCATTACAAATTACCACTTAAAATGAAACTTCAGTCCCAAGAACTTACGAATTGTCAAATTGACCGTACAGTGTCATGTCTTTCTGTTGTTATCGCTGGAGATCTGATGGAAACTTGTTCTTTCTGTTTGGGTCACTAGAAGCTATTTCACAAACTTTCCATCCATTCCTTGTTATTATACTTCTTGCACAAAAGTATCGATATCAAAGTTCACTATGTGGTTGCTGCCTCTGGCATCTGAAGAACCACCTTCTTGTTTTCATGTTTCATAAGAAAACAGAAAATTGGGAAGAACAAACCTTTTTTCATCCAGAAAATGGCCATGGTAGCCTTAATATCAAATTTACCTACAGAAAGTTGTATCAGCCTGTTTGTGCATCAGAGAGAGTGAGGATACCAAAGATCATCCGTTGACTAAAGATGTGTAGAGTTAACATACTCTGAGTTTCTAAACTGCAGCTTATATACATGTTCTGGTGAGTATTTTGCAGGTCCTCACATTTTCAGCTCAAAATAGGGGCCACAAAGGAAATCTGGTAAATTGCCTGCACCCATTTTAATATCTGATTATTTTTTAACACTGTACAGTCTGGTGAGGTGGAGGGAGGGAAGGAGCTTCTCAATCAGAATGGATTTAGAAGTAGTTCAGTGCTTAGGGGATACTGAGTGGCTGCTGATAATAAAGTGCTAGTTTGCTGAAGAAGGTGAAAGAAGTTTTTACTAAAAGATTTGATGAAAAAATCAATTTCACAAATAAAACAGCAACATTCTATGTTAAAACACAAGAATGCATGGAAATATAGGGGGAAAACCCCCATATTCAGCTGTGGGTCTACGTGCATAGTCTCTGATTTTTGTACAGCTACAAAGCAGGTATGTGTCTTTAGAAACAAGTTACAGGCAGGAGGTTTTTAAACCCAATATATCTTTAGTGGCTTGGGTAAGACCTCTATTGATGGGCAACTACTTATGGCAACGCAGGAGGTCAGCAAAGGAAAATAACTCACCTTCCTAGCTGCCTAAGCGTGGATTGAACGGTCAGATGCGGAAGAGGTAACAGCAACGTGTGGCAGATGGTTGGAGCTGGATTGTCAAAGTGACTGCTCTTTCCGAAATTTGAGTTCCTGGAGGGTGGCCAAGGTCAGTCACTACAAGATTAAGGCACTCTGAAACGCTTGGCCATATTGTTTGCTCTTTCAAAGTGAGTCTTCGAAAGATGTGAATTTGCTACTCGTGACTGCACAGCGAGTGAGGGGGGACTCCAGTCGCTCATCGGCAGTTTGTCACAGGCTGCTGCGCGGCCAGGACTGCGCTGCTGCCAGCGTTCAGCGGGCACGCCAGCCCGGGCGGAGGCACAGCAACGCCAGCTGTAATCCATGTCTCAAGCCCTGCTGCAATCTCCAGTGTAAACTCGGTGCTGCTTTAGTAAAGTTGCCGGAGTGGCGGTGGATCTAGAGACTGGGCTTTAAATACAGTGTGTAAAACAGGTTCATAGCAGATGCCTGGGCTCTTCCACTCCCTGTCTTTAAAACTCGGGATGTCAGTTTTGCATCCCAAGGGATATGAAACCTTTTTAATCAAATAAGATATTGATGTCCCAAAGGGGCAGATGGATTCAAGCTAGTTGTGCTGAACATTATCTTCAGCGCAACTTCCGTAGGAAAATTAAGGCAAGTGGCAAATGTAGTTTTCCTAAAAGAAAACCTGTAGGCTATACTTACATTGAGATGACAATTAGTTCAGTAAAAACTGCTATCACATATAAAAGGGGACATGACTATTCATGTCTATTCCAGATGAAGCATTCAGCTGAATGACAGGTTTGTTCAGAAATGTCTCCTAATTTGTACAGAAAATCAATACCACTATAGTAAATCAAGCCATAGAAGAGACTTTGTGACACAAGGTACAAAGTCAGCACCTATTTCTGTTGAAAGAGTTGGATTTCAATCCTCTATAGTATTGTTTCCTGAGGTTAAGTTTCCAAAACACCTGGGAATGCATCTGTCAGGGAGTAGCACGAGTGGGCTTCTTCTCAAAGGGAGGTGAGCCAAGGGTGACAAGGCACACGGCGGCACCAGCCTCATCAACAAAGGCACTCCGTGAAGAAACCAAGCAGGGCTGGTGACAATAACCAGGATCAGCCAGTACTGCCAGTGATTGCCAGGCAAGTGCTTTTTGACAAGGCAAGTCCATAGGGACAAGAAACGTCTGAGGTCAAAACAAGAAATTAAGTCTGTGGGTCAGGGTCCATATCAGCAAGGCACGTGGCCAGGTACAGGCTTGGCTCAGGCAAGGACCAGAGCTGAGCGTCTCAGCTTCATTGCAGCCCCCAAGCAAAGATGAGGAGCCCCCCGTGAGCACTTTCTGACACAGCTCTTTTTGCACAAGTCTTATCCGGGGTCCCACAGTGGCACCATATCAGAGCTGGCATGTCTTTTTCTTGAAGATAATTGTAAGCAACTGTCTATACCTCCCGCTTGCCTACAAGCAGAGCATACTGTTTGTTAAAATTTGTATTTGGAGACAATTTCTTTAACAGCACTTCCTTTGGTAAATCCTTGCCTGTTACGTGTACAACAAAGAAACAACTTCCATGTGATCTGCCATGTTCCCAGTCATCTCGAGTGGGAAGGACTGAAGACCCAGGCAAGTGTTAAGAAGGGGACAGGACAAGAGGCTAGCCTGAGATGGGAGAGATTCAGGGGCAGGAAATTTGGGTAGGAGAGTTCAAAAACAATCTAGTGGAGCAGGACAACATTACTTTGTATGTCTGTGTTTCTTCCCTCGTTTGTCTGGAGCTTTTGCAGCCATGAACTTCATCAAACCCTGCTGCCTGAGATCTTGCAATCCTTTCTTCAGTCCATAGCTAATAAACTCTTTGATTTGATTAAATCTTCCTCCTCTTTGTTTCCTCCCAGCCCTCCAGTCTGGGCTCCATGCTTGACTCCCTGCAGTGCCCCTGTGCTTTCTCTCTGAGTGGTCCTTTTTGCATAATTTCACTTAAATTACACTTAAACTGAGATCAGCTCTTTTGCTTAGGGTGCTTCCATCCACATTCACTCTTGGTCTGTGTCTCTAGCATCCCCTTTTTAAGGTTTTTCTCAGAGACTTAGGAAGCAACTGGTACTCAATAGTGTTAAAACTGAGCTTTTGATCACTTTCCCCATGCTCTCCTTTTTCCTCTGTTTTTCTGTAATGACAAAATATCTTTTATGGGAAAGGTTATACTGGAGCCGTTGCAAACTGGATCCTAGTTACTATTCCTTATATCTAGTCCCCCTTATGCCAGTTTGAAATGGTTTCACCAAGATAATCCATGCTGAAAAAAATAATTTATCATGATGTTTCTCTAGGCTTTTCCTCAGGTCTCTGTCTCCGAACATCTACCTTTTCCAAAGCAATGGGACAGAATGTCTTTGCTTTTGTGGCAAGATCTGTGTAGTTCAGTTTTGCGTTGGCTGTTTGAAAATGGTGCTTCAGCTGATAGAGAATCCCTTCAAGATGTCAAACTTTGTAGCCTGTTCATATCCCAGCTTGAAACTCTTCCAAGTACAGGGCCAGTGATAGGTATAAACCACAACTGAATGTTATAGAGCTCAGTTATGTTAAAAGCAGCTGGGCATAGTGCCTGTGCCTGTCCCAGGGAACGTGCTGCAGATCTGCTGAACAAAGTCTATGTTCTGGAGCATGCAAAGCTCCCTCTGAGATCAAAGTTTAAAAGCAGAAGGAAAAAAAGGATTTGCAGATTAAGAACGTGACTGCCTGAAACCAGAGAGTATTCACTCACACTCATTCTCCTATCAATATCATTCATTCACCCACATACCCATATACTCTAAAAAAATAAAATGTGTGTGCCCAGGTGGGCACTGTCAGCTGTGTGGTGCAGCTGACACACTGGAGGGAAGGTATCCCATCTAGAGGGTAAATTTAGATTAGATCCAAGGAAGAAATTCTTCACTACGACAGTGGGTGAGGCACTGGAACACCTTGCCCACAGAGGTGGTAGATGCCCCATCCCTGGACACACTCAGGCTAGGTTGGACGGGGCTTTGAGCAACCTGGTGTAGTTGAAGATGTCCCTGATCATGAAGACCTTTAAAAGTCCCTTCCAACACAAATTATTTTATGATTCTATGATGCTATAATGTCACCTGTCCTTGCCCTCTCTTTAATCCTGACCCATAAGCTCTCGGTCAGCTCCTCATCCATCCCCAGGCAGAGCTCCACAAATTCCAGCTCGTCACTGACATAGAGGGTGACACCCCCTCCTCATCTCCCCTTCTTGTCCTTCCTAAAGAGCCCTTTGATCACCCTTGTCACCATCCTTTCAACTCTCTTAATTTTACAGTGTCCTTTCAGAGATATGAGAACCTGAATTGTATAGCTGGTGTTTTTTCGGTTTTTCCCTTTTTTTCTCTATTTTTTCTCCTTTTTTTCCTCTAATTTTTAAATGCTTTTCTAGAAATTCCATGTATTTTATTGCTATTTTGTCCCCTCGTGAGTACTGAGTTGATATTTTCATGGAACTTGTGATCATTATTCCAAGATCTCTGTTCTGAGTGGCAGCAATCAGGGTGAAGCCCATTATTCGTCACTTTTTCCTTCTGAGCTTGAGTGAATGGGTTTTAAAATGGCAGGCAACATTCAGTGCAGTTGAAATTCATTATGTCATTCTTTGCATTGTTTTAAGAGAATTTCATGTGTACAGCCTTCATTTCTTTTATTATTTTTTTAAATAAATCAGGAGTTCATAAAGTCAGGAACCCTGTTCTCTCCTTACTGCATATTCATTTTGACACAAATATTATAGTGTGTCGTATGTGACGTTTTCTTGCAGGGATCTGCAAGTTCCATTAATTAACCCTAACTGTTTTTCTTTTCTTTGAGGGGCAAATGTTCACGCGACTGACCCAAGCCGTGGACTGACTTCATGGGAATGGGCTTGTTACACAGGACGATCAGAATCTGCCTTCATCATGCAAAAGCTGATGGACAGGCCATGCCCAGAACAGTTTTGTGATCAATATAAACCAGAATGGCCAAAGATGAAGGAACTTCTTGCCAAGGCTGCGGAGCCAAAAAACTGTTTGCAGAGGATTTCTGAGTGCATGAGGGCAGCTATCTCATTCCGGTCTTTCTACGGCCCGGAAGAAGACGGGGTCCTTGATCACATGGTGAAGGTGACAACAAGCTTGAGCAGTCCTTTCATTGCTCTGTCATGCCGGACAGTGTGCCCAGGCAGCCCACCTTCTGTGGGGAAACACAGACTGTCTGTGCAAGAAATCCTGAGGAAGCAAAGAGCCGAGGAGATCCGATCTCAGGACAAAGACCACTTTAGCAGCTATGAGAAGCTATTTCGGAACTCCAAAGTCACACTGATCCCCAAGAAGAAGGACCGGCGAGCCAGCCTGCAGCCCATCAGCCTTGCAGTCTCTCAGGTGAACGCCATAGCCACTAGGAAAGCAAGCCTCTTGCCGCTCCACCTGCTTAGACGGAGCAGCGTCAGGCCAGGATTTGTCATCCCCAAAGTCCGTATCAGCAAGGCTCCTCCACCCACCTTCCAGCCCGAAAAGGCGAGAAGGAGGAGCAGCGCCAAGGATGACCCCTATTTGCAGATTCCCAAGTGGAGATACAAGGAGCTCAAAGAGGAGCGGAAGAAGGCGGAGGAACAGGAGAAGAACAAAGCAGCAGAGGCTCAAAAGCAGAGGCAGGTGTCTCCTGCCCGGTGCAGGACCTGATCTAAAGGCAGTCGCTTAGAAGGTTTCAGAGCCATTAGTCTTGTTACCTGAGGAACAAGAGCCCGCCGCTCATGGAGCTGGAATACTGAAAAATGGCCTTTAAGGTGCAGAAACAGGGCAAGGGCTATGCCACAGTGCATCTGATGGCGGAATGTGAAGGTATGCTGAGGAGCAAGACTTACTAAGTTTACCCATCTGCTGCTGATAGGACATTTTAATTGGTGCAGTCCTTCTGTGGTTTCTTTTTTTTTCCAGTTGCAGGTGAATGACTGAGAAACAGCTTGAAAAACAGCATGTGTGAAAGAATCATATTTTGTGTTCCCTTTGTAATGGACAAAATTAAGGAGTTGTGCTTTTAACACTAGACATTCCTCCCTCTCCTTGCTTAGATAGACATATTGCAAGGTTTTATAGTAATAATGAAAAGTTTAAAATATACCACAATCTTGGTGGACAGTGAAAATCCAGGTCTACAGTTGTTTTGAATATACTAAGCACTTTATTTTAATTCCAATAATCAAAGTTTAAGACAGGATAGGTATTATTGTATAGCTCTATACAGTCTGTGTGGATGCAGTTCTTAACACTATTGTTTGTTCTGCTGAATATAAAAAGGGCTGCATATGAAATATTTCTGTAGCTGAGGTATTCACATCTTCTGCAGGTATAAAATCAGGGGCAGGGACTGATTTATTTGGAGCAACAGAGAAGCTGAGCTAATTTTTGAATGCCACTGTCACCTAAGATTTGCCTGCCCCATTAAGCTTCCCTGTATCTGCTATCTGTTGTCTCTTTAGTCTCAGGGTTTTTTTTGTCATTGTGTTTAACTGTGAAATAAGGGAGATGGTGAGCCACAGGAGGACTGTTTTTTAGGTTGATATTTAAGTTTCTGCTAAAAAACCCCACCTGGTTTATTGTGAGCCTTTCCATATTACAGCCAGGACAGGAAAATTATGCAGCTTCCAAAAGTTTAAGCCATTTTCCCAGGTATCAAGTCTGGCCATATGCTATGAACATCCAGTCAGAGACGCAGTATCAGGCAGCTCGGCCACTAATGTTTGGAAACCGTGGCCAGATGCCATTGTAAGCTTTGGTAGTACACCTCTGGATGCCCGGGGAGGGCAGTCCCTCACCCCTTTGTCTCAACCCTGGGGGAAAACCTTCCCTAGTACCTGAGTGCGTCTCAGAGTGGCAGTTCCCACAGGCAGCTTGCAGTCCATGTTAAGGCTTCACTTGGCTTCACCAGCAGTCGGTCTGGACGGCGTGCCAAGCCCTGGCAAATTCCAATAAGGAAGGGCTGTAAACCTGCTGCTTGCTGAAGAAAGACCATATTCATAAAAGCAGAGGTCACACAGCAAGTCATACAGCACGTGCTCAGGCTGTGTATCTGCTCAGGCTTTGCTCTCATTTGAAATGAAACGTGCTGTGGTGTGTCCTCCTGACGGTGTTGCTCTGCTGGAGCCCAGGCAGACCCCAGCTGCTGCTGTCACCAGCTTCTCCCTTCAATTAAAGAGAGGGAAAAATTTTCCATCGTTAACTCCCACAGCGCAAAGGCTGGCTGTGGTCTCACTGAACTTGAAATGAAACCGTGTGTGTCATGGGAGAAATAAATTCAGTTGATTGAAAACCAGTGCCCAGACTGGTATTGCTAGCTAGTATCTGCGGGGTCGGGGCTTGACAGGGGTTACAGCAGACGTGTGAAACACGGATTTTCCATACAGCCTCTTCTTTGTACATCTCCCCAGAGTAGCTGTGCTGGCTACTTGCACATAGCCTTGCCAGGTAGCCTCCCAAAGTCAGAGCTGAAGGAGTATGCACCCTGCTAATGAACCTTCCCAGCCACGTGAATATAAAGATTTTTTTTCTGCAAGTGCATCAGTGCTGTGCAATTCATGGTCACCAATTTTGTAATGGATTTGGTGTGACCAGAATATAAGCTGAACTTGTTTCTTTGGTAGGAAGACAATCTTTGAGCTGTCTTTGGCAAAGATATTAGGATGGATTTTAATTGATACACTGTATTGAATGGCTTAATTATTAATTTCTGTTTACTGCCAGCCCAGCGTACTGAAAATTTAGCATTCAGGTTCAGCATCTGAAAAGCAACCTGTGCTGCAGGTGAACACTTGGATTTGCACTTGGCATCACTTGCAGGAGATACACAGTTGACAGGTGCTCTCAGGGATTAACATACAGTATGTTAGAACTAGGGGCTGAAAATGAAGCCTATTTTCTAACCCTATGTATTTTACTGTGTATATGTGTATAAATATGTGTTATTTCCATTAAAAGAGGCACAACTTTAAACTTAAACATATTTGGCAGCCTTATTATTCAGAGCAGTTTGGGGATGCTACTTTTCACTTTCCAGTAGATAAAAAATCCCACCCACTTTCACCAACGACTCATCAGCACCACCTGAAAGCAGTTTGGTTTCCCTGGAAGGAGCTATTGTGGTTTAACTTCCACTCCTTGTGAATTGCACTTGCCCTGACGTCAGGCTTTGGCTGTCCATCTCGGCGGAGAGAGAAGCCGTTGCTCCGATGACCCGCAGCCGCCTTGCTCTGCTGCAAGCAGGCGGTCCGCCGGCATCTCACGGACAGCGTGGCTGCGCTTGGAGCGTCTGTGCAAGGCTTGGCACGTGCTCGGTTGGGAAGCGCAGGCACGGGGTCTCTGCCTCCTCGTTGCCTTCCTCCCCCGCTGCCTGATGGCTTCCCCCCGGCCATCTTACCCCCCTCTTCATCACTGTTCTCACCCAAAGTGCTGCGCCTCTAGCTGGATTTTTTTATCATCTCTCTGGAGGGTCTGAAGGTTGCAGCGGGCAAAGCTCCCACAAAACATGCTTCTGGGACCTTGTGGCAAATGGACCGTAGCAGGGGAGGGGGCACGCCTGGCTCTCCTCCAGCCATCCACCCCCGCGAGCTGCTGCCACTGAGGAGGATTCGATTTCTGTTGCATTTTAGCACAAATAGCTTGTTTTGTGTTTTGTTGTTCTGTGGTTTGTTTTTTTTTTTTTCCAAGAGACCCATAACTATGAAATGCCAAGCAATACCAGCTGTACTTCGGATCGCTCCTGGTC